TAATAAAAAAAAAAATTCTAGGAAACTATCATACCAATTGAACAATCAAAAGAACAAACGATAGATATGATTGAATCTAAACTTGAATTACAACCATTAACAATTGATGAACGTATGTTTTAATAATTATTTTTAGTTTTGTGAAATACAATCTAAAAAGAAAGTATGTTGCAGCATAGGAATAAAAATTTTGATCCCGTACAAATCATGATAGACTTTGTTAGTATGCAATCAAAAATTATGTATATCAATGAAGTCTTATTATTTATACATAAACTAATTTCTCATTGCATTTTTGAAGGATTACGTAAATCGATAGTGCAGAAATATGTCCCAAAATGGATAGGATATAAAACAATCTGTTATTGATTAGTAAAAGCAGTTATATCGTGTTTCACATATTAATTCTATAGGGAATAGTACTAATAGCTTTTTTTTTTGCTTTTTGATGTGTAGCTACAGAAACAATTGAAGCTGATTTTACTGATAGTGTATCATTAATTTTACATCAATTACAACAAGAACAACCTATTGAAACACGTTCTTCTTCAATAACAATTAGTGAAGAAAATACTGAAGAAGAAATTGATGATGATGATGAATTAGATAATGAAAGTATTATTGAATCTACAATTGATGAAGAACAAAATAAAATTTGTCATTCATCATCATCTATGTCTATTTTAATTCCATCAACAAAATTTGTTCAAACAGATTTATCATTTCATTTTAATGATAATATTTCATTTACAAAAATTGAATTATTAAATAAACAAAAATCAATATCAATTAATAAATTAGAAATTAATAAAAAAAATCAACAAATAAATATTAATAAGACCAAACCTATTATTAAAACAGTTAAAAAAAGTAAATACAAATTAAGGAACAAAAAAAAAACAACAATTTATAAATTTTTTTTTTAATAAGATATCGAACAACGACCTGTTTCATCATTAGTTAATACAACAAAACGATCGATTAATTCTATAATACCACGAAATACATCAATCATACCACCAAAACGAGGACCATCATCTAGAACTCAACTCAATGCAGCACAATCGGTGACTTCATTACCATTACAATCGAGTCAATTTATTTTTTTTTTCTATTATAAAATCTTTTTATTTTTATTGTGTAATATAATATTTAGAACGTACTCTATCACATTCATCATGTAATTCATTGAACAGTAGTCAGTCAGATTTAGGATCGATTAATAAAAGTTCAAATTCCAAACAAACATCTGATACAAGTCAAAATATATCTCAATTAATTGATCTTCCGTCAATTAATTTAGGTAAGTATAGTTTTTTTTAGGTTAATTTTAAAAATGAAAAAAAATCTTTTTTTTTCCTATCAAGAAAAACAACTCAATGAATCTCATGATCAATTGAATATACTCAATCAACAAATGACAATGTAAAATTTTACTATTAAAAAAAAAATTGTTTTTTAAATGTTTTTTGTTCGTCGAAATTTTATCTAGTCAAAAAAATGTTAATCAATCTCTTGAAATTAAGATTGAATATTTAAAAAAATATTATCAACATTTACTTAATCAATTTGATCTTATGCATATTTTAAGTCAATATTATATTAATGAAGTAGGAAAATATTTTTGAAAATTTATTTTTACTTATTTTATTTTTTATTATCAGAATGAACAAATTCAAGAACAACATGAACGTCAATTAATGAAAGGTATATTTAAGTTTTTTTTTTCTTATGAGAAATTCTCATCAAATGATAAACAAATGTTTCAAGATGAAATTTTTTCTACTTTATTAGATAAACTTTATTGAGATTAGAAAAGATCGAAAAATGTTTATAATTATGAATCTTTTTTAAATAAATCAAAAGATATTTAATTATTGTATTGACATGGTAAATTTCGCGATTGTTAGTAATTTGAAATCTTTTAAACGAACAGTCATACAATCGATGTATTTGCATATACAATTTAAAAAAAAAACAAAATTTTAATTTTCTTCAATGTGAATTTATCTTCATTTTAATACAGAAAATATTGGTTTTTTCCTTATTTTCATAATCATCTAAATGATAACCTTTAAAAAGTGACTTTTGAATTCTTATTGTAAAAGTATCAGATTTCCTAGAATAAACCTATGGTAAAAACAAAGTGGGGGTAATATTTTCGTATTCATTTTATTTTGCTATCGTTTATCCCACTACGATAGAACATAGATAAAAATTTCTTCTTATAGAACCTGTGGTTTTATAATTCGAATATGTTAATACCATTAGAAAGCACGTATTTCATTGATTACACTCATACATAATGTGCATAAAAATTTCAAAAGCTAAATACAAAACAAATCAACCGAATGCACTTCTCATAATTGATTTTGTGTGTGTGTGTGTGTAAAGTTAAAAGACACTTTTCACTGTTGAATACATATTTTTACACATTTATACTGTCTTTACTTTGTTATATAACAAAATTTTTAGATTGAGTATTTAAAGATAGGAAATACTTAAAAAATAAACTCATCTCTATTGAGAAATTACTTAGTCATAAGTTTAAAAGTATACTGAAGAAGACTATGATACTCTATTGAAAATTACTATAATTAAAGAAGGAAGACTTATGAATATGAATCCTTTTTTCTTTTTTTTTTCTTTTGTCTAGTTTCAATAAAGCTTATTCATAGAAAAGTAATTTTATCACTTAGTGAAATTCTTTTTCTTTGTTTCTTTGATTATATAATGATTATTTTTTTGTTATTATTAGTTCAAACAACAAAAGATGAATTAAAAGTAAATGAAAATATTTCTATAATAAGAAAAAAAACTATATATATAATTGATTCTATCTTTAATATTAGACATCAATTGAACAATTACAATCAACTCATAAAAATGAATTATCTCAATTAGATAAACGTTATCATAGTCGAATTGAAACATTAAATAAAACACATGAACAAAATTTAAATGAACATCAACAAAAATTTGATCATTTATTAGTATATATTTAAATATTCATTAATAATGTCTTGTTTTACTAAGCTTTCTTCTTCTTTTTTCTTTTTTTTTAAGCATGAAAAAAAAGAATTAGAATCTCGTTGTTCAATATTACAAGAAAAAGTTGATAATTTTCTAACTGAAATGGCTAATAGTCAACATGCTGATGTTTTATTATGTCATGTTGAAACATTAGAAAAAGATCGAACAAGTTTACAAACTGTACTTGAACTTAAAAATAAAGAAATTACACAACTGAGAACAAAACTTAATGAACAAGAAATTCGAGTATATAAAATAAAATTTTGATGTATATTTTTGTTTTTTATTAATCATTTTAGCTTCATGATGAAACTGCATTACGAAAACGTGTTGATATAGCTGAAAATGAAAATCAAAGTCTTCAATATCTTCTTCAACAAAAAAAATTAAGTGAAAAGTAAATAAATCTTCACTTTGTATGTGTGTGTGTGTATGTTTTTCTTTTCTTTTTTTTTTACTAAATTTTGATTGATTTAATCATTGAAAATCTTCTTATAATTCATATAGAAAATCAAATATTATTTTAACACTTATGAATTCTTTTTTCTTTAAAGTTGATCTTCAATCTACATACAATAGATTATTATATTTATGTGTATTTACTAAGTACATATTGCTTCTATATTTTTACATATACATTATTATCATTATAAGCTTTTGATTATCAATTATATACATATATATATATATATATCACTGAAATTGACAAATTTGAAAATCGATCTTGATCTACTACTTATAGATAAATTTCTTTTCACTATCTATAAGATAAAATATCTAATTTGCAAGCTATTATTGCTTTTATTGGAAGAAAAAATTTTTCGTCTTTGTTTATTTTTTTTAAATAAATTTATTCTATTTTTAGAACTGCTATAGCTGAACGAGATAAATTAAAAGAACAAGTAATTCAACTTGAACGAGATAATGATCAATTAAAATTTGAAAATGAAACATTACGTTATCGTCTTCGTGAACGATCATTATCCGTTTCTATACCATTAGATAATCAAATTCTTATAGTCTCAACTGAATCATCAACTATTATGCCTACGACTCAGAAACGACAAGGTCGAAAACGTGCATGTAGCTTATCAACTATAACAATAATTGCACATGAGAATGAACGCATTACTCGTTCGTTATCATCATTGAACTGTATACTTAATCGGTGATTATTTTTTTTTTTTTGGTTTTTGGTGTTTGAGAATGTTTGCATGTGTGCGTAGCTTGTTTTGTTTTTTATTAATTATTTTATTAATATTAATTTGACAATATTAGAAATGTTCTGACACAAATAGATGTTTTTTTTGCGTGATATATATATATATATATTTATATATGTACGTGTTACTCTCTGCTTTTGTATTTTTAACATATTTATTTATTGTAGCATGTGTTTATGGACAAGAAACATTTAATTATTTTGATAATGATATACAGGGTGTGGCAAATGTTTAATAAAAAAAATTTTTCTTTTGAAAAATATTTTAAGCCCAAAAAATAATACATAATTATGAGTTGTTGTTTTTTTTTGGTAGATAATATGAGCTAAAACGATAGGTATTACTTAGATTGGTTCTCTATAAACGAATTTTTGTATATTTTATTAAGTAATTTAGTGCATGACATCTTTTTCATACATAGTTCATCGATTTGTAAAGAAATATTTAGTCTTTAAAATAGAATCTATTAACAGACAACATGTTGTATGGAGAACAGTAACATGTAAGAATATTTTACAAAATAGTAAATATCATTATAAACTCATAGTCTGTGTAAAAAATTTATTAGATAAAATAATGTGTAGTAGCAAATGACTATTATAAGCTAATAAAGGAATACAAATGATTGTCTTATTTTGATTTAAGAAAACAAAACAAAAAAAAAGAATGTCTTTTGAAAACTTGAACAATTGCTGTCGAATATAAGAGCACATCAAAAGCTTCTCAACACATGTAACATTCGCATTAGAGCAGAGTACAGCCACCTTGCATGTCTACACGATGAATATTGAAAGAATCTTTAACGTCAAGAGCAATGATATATTCGAGAAATGTTTGTCGCATTTTATGAACATTTCGAATTTGTTGACGAACTGATTGTTTATTTGGATGAGTTTTCAATTCTGGACGTAATGCACCCATGTAGAAAATTTTTTGAGCAAAAAACTCTTTCAATTTATGATTAACAACCGCTTGTGAATCAAAAAATTCATTGACTTTTGCTTCTCGTTGTTCTGTAGTCGATTCTTCACAATGTGTTACTAGTAAACAAATATACTGATGAAGTTTTGGATAATTATCTCTAACAAATACCATTGAATTGATATCATCAACATCCACATTACTTTGTAAACTTATTACAAAAGCAAATAGATGCATATTAGTTACATCTTTTTTTATGCACTCATCAATAGCAGCTTTAATTCGATCATTTGTCATTGGAGTACCACTTTTTGTTACTTTATCGTATAAACCAGGTGTATCAACCACATTGAAACAATAAACAATATTCTCACGAATCATTGTTGCAGCGACAGGATGAACGGATACTTCTCTTGTCTCAGAATGTAATTTGGCATTAGGAGGAACATAGCATGGATCAGCCAGTACATTAGCTACTGTTGTTTTACCAGTACGAGTTTTACCCATTAACAAAAGATTATGTGTTATGGTTTGACGAAACGGATATTTATTTTTACTAGCACTCCAACGTTTTACTTCTGCAATCATGTCATTAAATTGAATTTCATCATCATCTTCATTCATCCATCCTCCTCCTGAAATAAGTAAGATTTCTTTAAAAGAAAAACTTATCAATGTGATTTCTAATAAAACATCAAAATGAATCCATGTGGCCAAAGGAAATATTGTGTTTTTTGTATAAATTATTATTCGATCATTTAAGACGAAAAACAAATAAAAGTTATTTTTGAGAGTGATTGTTGTCTACATATGAGAGAGGAGAGTGCCCGAAACGGAATGAATGTTTCTGAGTTCGAATGAAAACTTAAACTCATCATATAGAGTGAATTTCACTGACCTATATAATTAATTTTATTTATTATTTCTGTCATAGAAAAATTTTCAGAGAAATCACTGTAATATGAAAACACTGTAATCATCAGTGAGAACTAGCACCCCATCTATCGAAATTTGTAGTCTTGTAGATCTTAATAAGACTGTGGCAAATCAATACATCATTCGAATTTCAAGAAAGACTTCTCTAAAATAGTTCAAGTCCTGTTGTTCATGTCTTAATCTTTTTTCTATAACAATTAACTTAGAAGAGAAAACACAAAAAAAAAAATAGAACCGATAAATTGTCTCGGACACTTGTGAAAAAAATGTTGAGATCACTCGGTCAACTACTTCTCGTAGAAAGAGAGGACTTCATTACAATCATATTTGCCTCTTCCATCATTTATCTTTCAGGAGAACATGTCATGTGTTTTTGAGTCTATTCTTATAAAATTAGTTATAAGTGTTGTGTAATAAATACCTGATCCTGAGTTTGTTTCTGGTTCACTGATATTAGATGATCTTGCCATCGCTCGTTGAATTGTTACTAACCGATCGTGTGAAAAATTGCTTAGTATGAAAAAATGAGGAATGGAAAAATCTTTTGCTGATTTGCTTTGGATACTGTATGACAGTTAAACTGAAGATTCAATCTATCTGAAACAAAAAAAAAAAACAAAAGCCAATATCCATTCACAACTTTCAAACATGTTTATTATATATGTAAATATTAGTAGTGATTGCTCATACATCCATTCTTACATGTTAAGCGATATAGACTGTTCATTTTTATACTGTTGAAAATAATGAAGATGCACAATTAGAACCATCATAATGACAAAACAGGTAAAGAGAGAGCAAAACCAACGTCCACAACGACAAACATTACAGCATCGCCAAATAGGAGAACAACAGCGATTCTCCAAGGAATATTCAAAAGGTATTACGATAACACTGTCATTATCTTGACATCGTCGAATGAACTCAGCTCGCATTTGTAATACTTGATTATGTTCGAAATTCAATGCTTTTCGATTACCACTTTCAAGTGATTCACGTCGTATACAACCCATACAAAGAACACCACGTTCAAAGAATTGACGTACATGATTATTCATGAAACGAGAATGATTGAAAAATTCTTCAATTAATTCTAATCTTTGATTTTCAGTCTTTTCTTCACAATGTGTCAATATCAAAAACATCTTTCGACTAAATCGAGTAAATTTCTTTTTGAAATTAAGTATGGCTGTTATATCTTCTGAATTAATTCCTTGTCGAATGTTAAATACAAATCCAAATAAAGGAAGATTACCACTAGTAAATGGAATCTGAAATCCACTAATATTCAGACCATGTTGAGTCATGTGGCAATTACTTAACGTATTTTGATTGTCAAATATGTCGGGCGTATCAATGATGTTTAAACCACCTACTCGTCGTTCAAAATGTTCTAGTGTAGAATTGCGTATTTGTGATTGAAGTGGACAAAAGAGACTATCATTGATGACATTTTGAATGGTGGTTTTTCCCATTTTAGAACGACCTAGAAGGATGATCATCTGTTCCGGATAATCTCTGGGCTTGAGGTAGTTTTCATTTCGATCCCGTAGACAACGTAGATCTTCCAAGATGATATTGGGATCTTCAGTCAAAGTGTCATATGAATTCATCTGTAAAGAATGAAACAAACCTAAAAAGAATAATAGTCTTTAAAAAAACCTACGCTAGTTATGAAGCAATCATATCAGTCAAATTAATTTAATGACTACTCTATAGCTGTTGTGATAGAACAGTCTAGTCACTGACGGAGAAAATTGTGCTGATAATTTATCTGTTTTCTCAGAAATTTAAACATCTCAACTCTGTTCATTCCTTAAAAAACCCTTGAGGGATCTATCAGGATTCTCAATCTAAAAGATTTTTGTCAAGCTTGGTATACCTGCTGTGGACGGATCAGTTTCGGAACGATTCGTCATTACCCAATGATATTGTATTGATTGATTGTATTAGATAGTGAATTTCCACATTAACAAGTTATGCAATATTTCGTTTGATCGTGACTCGTCTTGAACAGAGCGAAGTCACGAAATCAAATGACACATCTATCTAAAATATACTTAGAATAATTTTTGAAGCAAATTTTTCATGTACAAAATAAAATTCCTATTGAACGTCACACATTTTTTGAAGCTTTCTTTTTCTAATAGAAAAATGCAGGACACTGATTCTGTTCCGTATAATTTTTCCATGCGTTGGGTAGTCTAGTTTTTTGATCACAACGTATAGGAAAATGAACATAAATAAATAAGATCATAGGAATAGAACACCAGATTAATATGTACAAAAACCAGAACCAATAGTTATCAGTAGAACAGTAACGTCGAAGAAATGATGGCCCTCGAGATGTTGATGAATAGGTAAAAGGTATAACAATTGCACTATCATTATCTTGACATCGTCGAATAAATTCAGCTCGCATTTGTAATACTTGATTATGTTCGAAATTCAATGCTTTTCGATTACCATTTTCGAGTGATTCATGTCGTATACAACCCATACAAAGAACACCACGTTCAAAGAATTGACGTACATGATTATTCATGAAACGAGAATGATTGAAAAATTCTTCAATTAATTCTAATCTTTGATTTTCACTCTTTTCTTCACAATGTGTCAATATCCAAAACATCTTTCGACTGAATCGAGTAAATTTCTTTTTGAAATTGAGTATGGCTGTTATATCTTCTGAATTAATTCCTTGTCGAATATTAAATACAAATCCAAATAAAGGAAGATTACCACTAGTAAATGGAATCTGAAATCCATCAATAGTCAGACCATGTTGAGTCACGTGACAGGTACTTAAAGTATTTTGATTGTCGAATATGTCAGGCGTATCGATGATGTTTAAGCCGCCTACTCGTTGTGCAATAGGTGCTAATGTAGAATTGCGTATTTGTGATCGAGGTGGACAATAAAGACTATCATAAATAACATTTTGAATAGTAGTTTTTCCCATTTTGGAACGACCAAGAAGAATAATTTCTTGTTTTCGGCGTTTATTTGGCATACTATAATTACCATCGAGCTCACGCTTACGACGCATATCATTGAGAATAACGACAGAATTTTCCATCGATACCTCACATACATTCATCTGTGCACTATCAAACAAATCTAAAAGAAAATCATTGAATCTGTTATTGCACGATCACGTACGTGCGTACCTTTCGAAAATCTAGAGATAGGAATGCAAATAATCGAGTAACAGAGGTCGAATTAAATTTTTTCTATGTTTTATTCTATCGTCAAAATAGTGAAAAAAAAACATTTAAAACAAAAAGAAAGAGATAACTCCTGTGTTAAGACTCATCCATTCTAAATTCAAAGTAATATCTCTTCCGTTTTCATTGTGACATATTTTTTTTACTGTTTGGAAGATAAAATGAAGCGCTTAAAAAAATTTCACTCAAAAACTGTTACTGGATTATTTACATTCATATAGAAGTCAATTCATTTCTCAGAAGGGAATCACATTACACTACTCTTTTTAATCCTGACTTTCTATAAACCAATGTAATCTGCTCGCTAGGCCTGTCACAGAATATTCTTCTATAGAACAATTAATGACCCACATATTTGGCACAAAAAAATGACGAGGCTAATAATAGAGATTCTTTTCTTACTATCCTATAGCCTTGTTTAATGCCTGCTTATATGTCATTTCAATGACAAAAGTCATTCAGAAATCAAAATAATTATTTCTATGAAAATAGAAACAAATAAAGAAACGGCTGAACAAGTTCTTAATGTTTTTAACCATATAGTGAACTATTCGAGTCCATCATCGAACAAAAAATCAATCTGATAGGAGAATGCACACAATAATAAAAAAATTATTTACCATGTATGATAGAATAGTTACGTAGGACATTTTTTTATAAAGATCAATTTCATTGCCCAACATCATCACTAACAAAAATGGATAGATAGACAAGAAAAACAGTATTCTATCTGATCTTGATTATTAATGTGGAGGTAGGAGTGAGTGCAATAGGTAAAAAGTTAGTTTTTTATTTTTTTTGATCGATTTTAAATAAAAAACAAAACTTAATAATAAAAATAATTTTCTTATAATTTAAGCTTAGAGGCCAAATTTGGTTGAAACAATGAATTATTTGTCGATTCTAATTGATATAGAAAAATGCATTAAAACGTGTCGAACCATCATTTTTTGCTTAGTAAATGCGTCTTTTTTTCGCTATGTTTCTATCTAAATACATTGAAATATCATTTAAGCATTTATTCACCTCCATAGATAGATGTTATATACCTAACAGAATTAATTATTTATTAAAACTATCATTTGTTGGAACAAAAAAAGCAACTGTAACTGCTTTTTCTATTCAAATTTAGATTCGAACGCACCATTTTGTAGAGAATAGTTATATTAAATCCAAATAGCTTATTGTGTTCATCTTTTAATTCTCTATCGTTTGATATATAACATGAAAAATTTCAATGATCTGTTGAAATACAAACTGGCATAATTTTTATAGACCATTTTTTATTCATTGAAGTCATGAAGATGCTAAAAGTTGGTCTTGTCTAACTTTTCAAAGAAAGAACACTAAAGTTTAAAACTTTAGAGTTGATGTTTTCGGACATAGATGCACTGAGTGAGCAAAAAAACACTCAATTTTTTCTGATCAATTGCTATTTAATCATTTACGTGGCTGATTTGCTTGTGTGATGATTCTTATTCACATTTTTATTTTCACAGTATGCACAAAATATTTATTGTAATTAATGACTTTTCTTCTTACTAATATTGAATACCTCTTAACATTTTTTTAGTTGCTTTACAGTTTCATCTCTTTCTAATAAACTTTACAATTGAATGTCTGTTATCGATTTAATATGTTTTGTACATTCATAAACAGGAATACACTTATTTTAGAAGAAAGGCACTAATCACTTCAAAATCAATCATTGTTACTAAAAAAATAAAAAAACAGCAAATATGCTGTGAATCCACTTATATCTAATTTTTACCGTTCTTTCTCAAAAATAGACGAATCACAATAAATACATAATTATTGAATATATTGTGAATCTCTCAATTTATCAAATCGAAAACTGTGCATGTCTACATTAGAAGAGTAGCTAAATGTCAACTAAGTTTAGATCCTCATCTTCTAAGGGAATTAGAAAATTTCAGTTAAAAAAAACCACCTACAGTACATTGACGTCATCATTCGAAATCGATAATAATTATTTATGGCATGTGGTTTTATTAACAAAAACAGACCCTAAATGTTTATAACGAAGACAGGTGAGAGCAGAGAAAACGATATCAACAGGAAGAAGTCAATAACAATCCAATCTACGAAAACATGTGCGTGAGTCATCAGTTGAATAATTGCATGCACTATGATGGGCGACATTTAGTTTTAAGTGGAATAGTTAGAAGAAAGATGATAACTGCAATGTTTTAAATCAGAATCAGAAGGCATATTTACCTATATATTTTATTTTAGCGAAAACTAAGTGTCACAGAGATGATGACACTAAAACTGTCGTTACAATATGACAGTGATTCAATCAATATTGCTTGATAGACAAATACAAATGATACATATTGTGGAATCTATACTCTAGCTTTAGTATAACTTTTTGGTTTTAGTTCGTCAGAACAATTTAACTTGATAAACGATTCCTACTAGTGATATACTTCAAATATCAACTTGTAACAATGAGTTTCATCTGAAGTGCATTAGTGGATCTTGAATTCGATATTGATTGATATATCAGTCCATATCACGTACTGACGCCTATCTGTCTGCAATTAAAAATTAATGCCCCAACAAAAAGCCCGAATGCATAAATACAACGCACGTTTGCAATATCAAACATAGTGCTTTCTGTATGTTAATCATCAACTAAATTACAATCCAAATATCAAAAGACCTATTCTCGAGCATTATGCTTGAATAAAATACTATTCACATATATAGTCACCTTTTACTTTATACAAAGTTAGTAATCATATGCGTCCTCTTTTCATAACATTTCATATGTATGATTTTATTTTGCTTAATATTATTTTTCAATGCCAGCAATTCTTTTAACCTCTTATAATATTTTCTCCTTGTTCCAGAAAATAGAAGTGATTATTTTGGAAAGAACATCATCATGTTTATCTTACATTAACATAAATATTGATACTTATAGTAATCTCTGAAAAGATAACTCCCAGAAGTTATTGACTTTTTTTTACACTTTATTCTACCTATTCAAAATGTTTGAATGCATGGAATTAATCATGATTGATATTATCAAAGAATTTTCTGTTTCATAGAAAAGAAATTAATTTCAAAATTCATCTGACTATTTTGAATGAGAGATTGAAACAAATAAGAGAACCTTCATTCGGATCTAGGTTGAACTGTTATAGAAAAGTTACTTATTTTTGTACTTCTCGGTTCAAGTCAGCTTTGCTATATTTGATCTATTTATACATATTCAAAGG